ATTGAATCTTGAGTCTTTATTTGAGTCAAGATTTGGTTTTTCTCTGTTGTTCAAAGTTCTTCCAGTTGGTGTTCCTTTTTTGTTTGCTGTCAGCGTTAGTTTTTCGTTGATTCTGGTTCTGTGTCCTCCTTTCTGGTTGTTTCTTCTGGTGCGTCCCGTTTTGATTCTTGATATTCTTCTAACTATTTTTACATGATGAACTTCTGGCCTTTTGCACTCACAAGTTAAGATGACTTCTTGTAGTATTCCTTCGGACGGAAGTGTCCAAATGCTGATGCAAACTTTCAGAAAAAAGGGGCGTATTCTAATACAGACAAATTGTGTGCCCCTTCTTCCTTGAAGCAGGGAAGAAGTAATTGGATGGATCAAGCAATCCTGTGCCAGATCCAAAGTGTTTCGAAAATTCCTATTCAAGTAGACTGGCTGAGCGCATTTGACTGGCTGAGCTGACTGGGTCAAACGAATCCACACTGACGTTTGGCCCATCGCCTCGGGAGGGTAGAAGGGGTTCATGGCACTGGCCTAGGCATGTTCGCACGAGCCGGATGTCTCCTGTTCAGGAAGGCTTGGCAGTACAAAGAAAAGAGACAGCAACTACTCCAAGATCGATCAACTGTGAAGCCGTTTTGCTGCAAATTCTTCTGAAAAGGAAATCGAGTCTGGTAAGACAAACTCGGGGCCTCGTACAATCCAGGGGTTCCTTCAGCTGCAAAACCCAGGGAGTTGTCATCCTTCAAAACCATGTGCCAGTTGCCATACATGTTTCCGCTAAAACTCAACCGCCAAACAAACTCAGTTTCTTACCTTGGTTTCCTAGCTACCAAGTCTACCTCAAACCCAGTTGAAGAAGGGCATACAGCTACCCTCATTGCTGTTGTAACCCTGCTGTTGTATCCCCCGAATAGAGCTAGAACGTGATGTGTCCTTTTAAAACTACACCTACTTGGAAGTATGTGAAAAACCATGGTGAAAACCTGAAAACCGTGTTGCCACACCTGACCACCCGCCACCGGCCCTTGGCGCCCCCCCCGGGGCACCGAGCGATCACGGTGAAGGGCACCACGCGCAAAAAGCCCGGCATCGAGACACCTGTGACCTCCACCTGACCGACCGACACGGAGCACTGGCGGAAAGTCGTTCTGGAGATGAAGGTTGGAGGGGTGAGAAGCAACCAAATGATACGGATGAAGCATCATGAAGCATGATGAAGCATGATGGCTGGTGTTGCACCTTTGGTGACTTCTGCTTGACTTTGGGGTGTGAAACGGATTTTCCAGCACTGCAAGCACTGGTAGCTGAGGCCACTGAGTGCTGACTCCAAGACGAAAGGGTGAGGGAAAAAGGCAACCCTGCCGCGGAAACAAACATATAAAGCCCTTCGAGGTCAAGCTAGCATTGGCAAACCTGTCAGCCCACCAAATAAATAAAACTCATCGGTTCCTTCTCAGGTGGTAGAAAATCAGTGTTTGGTAACTTGTGGATGAACCAAGCAAATCATAGACAAAATGAAAGAAATGTCTTGCTGGATTCCACGCCACAAAGGAACAACACTCAAACATGGCAGCCTCTTGCTTGGCGGTGTTCACCATCTCCACCACCACCTCGATCTTCTCTCCGCTGCTTCTCGACAGATAGCCTCAAAACCAGTCAGAACCTTCCAGCTGCGACCCGCTCGGCTCCGGACTCCCCGCGAATCGAAGTCTCCACAGGTAGTAACAAGTGCCACGCTACTAGTAACAGGTGCCTTACTAGTAGTA